ATTCGACTTCGGCTACGGCCTGAGCTACACCAAGTTCAGCTACAGTTTCGTGAACCCCAACGTCTTGGTCACGAAGAACGTCAACAACGCCAGGCAGTGCTACAACTTCCTCCCCTTCGAAGACAAGCAGTTAACTGACGTCCCCGCGTGCCAGTCTGCGCTGGTGTCCGATCTTGATTGCACCGCCGGGGACGTCAGCGTGCAGGTTTCAGTGACGAACGTAGGGAAGCTCGACGGCAGCGACGCGGTGATGCTTTACGCGAAGCAGCCTCAGGGGCTTATCGGAGCTCCGATCAAGGACCTCGTGGCGTTTGAGAGGGTGTTCTTGAAGGCTGGAGAGAGTAAAGTGGTGAGCTTTGAGATTGATGCTTGCAAGAGGCTGGCTTTTGTTACGGAGTCTGCACAAGAGGTTTTGCCGCAGGGCGAGCATACTCTCCTTGTTGGGGACCAGAAGTTGCCTGTTTACGTTCACTTGCAGAAGGAGGTTTGAGTTTTTTTTGGCGGTGTTTGTCATTCAACTTTCGTGTTGAATGTAATCGAGTTGTTGGTTTAATAATTGGATTAGTGTTTGTTTGTGGGTCTTGATTTTGTTTGTAGATGAACTGTCTCTATTCAAATTGATTTTAGTTCAAGCACCACTGTTTGGTTTCTGAGCTTTGATTTTTTTTTTCCTTTTCTTTTTCTTCAATATTTTTTTCCCTCTCTCTCAATTTCTGGACTATGCTCTGTTTGAGATTAATATGATGTTCCATCAAAATAAATATTTAAACTAATAATAATAAGGAAAAGAAAAAAAAAACAAAAGAATTTGTCTATGATCTGATCCAATTTCAGTACAATCCGAAACAATAAATACCTAAAGTTTTGGGGTTCTCAAAAAAGCCCGGTTCAACTTTCAAGTTATTCCAAAGTCCTCTCGAAGAGCTTGAACAAGGATTTTCACCGGCGAAAACACTTCCGACATAATTTTACTAGGAAAAATTCCCTAAGAACCAAAAAATATGGGACCAACAGGGGGATAGGTGAGGTGTCCCCCTCTTATTGCATAATGAGTTGATCATGCAATAGGAGGGGAACACCTCACCTGTCCCCCTGTTGCTCCCATATTTTGGGTCCCTGTAGCATGTTGTGCGCGATGCTTTGAGGAACCAAACCAACGAACGCCGAGAGAAAGACCAAACAAAACACAAACACCAAGGTTTAACGTGGTTCGGCAATTGCCTACGTCCACGGGGCAAGAAGGGGGTGGGTTTTCACTAATAGAGAAGGAGAGTACAAATTGAGATTACAAATCGCTCAAACGAACCAACTAATCTCACCAACAAATCTCTCAATCTCTCAACCAATAACCCTAACAAATAGCTCAGAAAGATCTCTCTTTTCTGTGCTCCAAAATCCCCAGATTTGCTCTTACAAAACCCTCAAATCGTATTGGTATTTATACCAAAACAGAAACCCAATCAGACTGCAAATAGGAATCCTGATTTTCCAAAAAACCCGCTATAAGTCGACTTAACAGTCTGCATAAGTCGACTTGACAGAGAGAAAAACAACAACTGGAGACGAGATCGTAAGTCGACTTACAAAACCTGTTAAGTCGACTTGCCATAAGTCGACTTACAGTCGACTTAGCATAAGTCGACTTGCCCTCTGTGCATGAGTCGACTTATGTCCAAAAATCAGCTTTTTTCAAGTTCTTCTCCACAATTCTCCACCTCGGCGAAGTTTTCCCAAAACTGAGCTGAGGTAAACCAATGGCCGTATCCAAATCATGTCCACCAGCTACCACCGAATCCAAAACCAATCCATCATCTGCATCCGAAATCAAATGATCCCCAACCTGTGTCACCTCAGCTGGAATCCCAAATGACGCAGTATGATCTGGAGTATGTGGAGTAATCTCCACCCAACGTGGAGTAGCATCACTCTCCACCTGCTGCGATATCCAAATGACCTGATCAACACTCTCCACCTGCCGAGAGTCAAAAGTGACATACCTGCTCAGAACAAAATCAGAAGCTCCCAAACGATAATCAACTGAGCCTCCGAACCCCAAACGCGCAATCGGATCCAATCTCACATCCACGATGTGACCAAATGCTGGGTATCCAAATATCCGACGCGACCCAAAATCTGAAGCAGCTCCACCAGATCTAATAACTCCTAAAGCAGCAGTCGGCGACCTATGCATAAGATGACCCAAATATGTCGAAGCCCGCACACCAATGCCAATGCTCGACATCAAACGCCGATCCTCCTCCAGAAAGGAACGACCCATCGAAACTGTCATCTCATCTCGTCGCCCCAAAGTCTCCACACCAATGAAGTGTCTCCTATTGCCGTGAGCTCGGCACCAACGCAAGAAAGGACCCCTACCAAAGCTGAAACAATGAGTTACCTTTCTGCCAATACACTTCTTCCAATTGTTGTTGACTTCTAGGACTTTACACCAACGGGAACTGGTCGCGACCCAATAATGCCTAGAACAATCATCAACTGCGGAAACTAAGATACGATTACCTCCCAATGATGCCTCATTGGAAGGCCCCCAAATGCCTGACTGAACACCTCCTAATAGACCCCTCGCTCGATGGATAGGAATGCCAAACTCCACCACGGTCTTGCTCATCCCAATGTGCTCACAGGACTTCAAACTGCAGGTCAAAGCACTCCTCAACAACCAATGCACGGCATAACCAATCATATACCCCAGCACCAAACAATGCCACAGTCTAGCCGAATCTGATGAAATCGTCATCTCCCTATCAATCACCGTGCTTCCGTGCAAATAATACAAATTTCTTCTTCTGACGCCCTTCATCACAATCATGGACCCAAATGGAACCTTCAAGCGTGCATCCGCCAAGGTCACCCTATAGCCCGCTGCCTCCAAAGCTCCAAGTGAAATGATGTTCTTCCTCAACTGAGGAACGAACCTCACTCCAACCAACTCCCGAATCACCCCGTCACTCATCCTGATCCGAACAGTACCGATACCACCAATAGAGCATTTGTGATCATTCCCCATGAGCACGAAATCCCCTCTTTCCAACTCCTGAAAGCTGGAGAACCAATCCCTCGTAGGGCAAATGTGGTAAGTAGCTCCCGAATCCAATATCCACTCTGTAGAGTAGGCAACACAAACTGACGGTAGTGCAGATAACGAGTAGCCCGAAGAATCCGAATCTGAATCGTTGCCACTAGCCTTGACAACATTCGCCTCTGAAGCTTGAATAGCTTTTCCCTTATTCTTCCCGGCTCGATCAACTAACTTTGGGCAATCGGCTTTCCAATGTCCATCTTCTTTGCAAAAGGCACATTGATTCTTACGAACTCCAAGATGTGCCCCTCTAGACTGCGACCTCCCACTACGGTTTGGACCCTTTGCTCTTGCGACCAACGCCCCCGCTACCGGCTCAAACGAAGTCTCCTTATCCTTCTTTCGAAGCTGATAATTCACAAGTGCAGCGGTGACCTCACTATACGAAAGAGATGCCTTCCCATTAATAAGAGTAAGAACGAAGGTCTCATATTCCTCGTCAGGCAAGGAACTCAATAGCAACAACGCCTTGTCCTCATCTTCAATCTTAACATCCACATTCGCCAAATCCGCAAGAAGCTTCGTGTAGTGGTTCATGTGATCACCAATGGAGGTTCCTTTCTTCAACTGGAAGCGGTAAAGCCTCCTCTTCAAATGCAAGCGATTCTCCACACTCTTGGTCAAATACTTGCTCTCAAGGATCTCCCAAATCTTCTTTGCAGAAGTCTCATTGATCACATCATACTTTAGATCTTGAGTGAGACAAGACCTAATCACACCACACGCCGTTCGATTCATCTTTTTCCAAACCTTCTCATCAATATTGTCCGGTTTCCCGTCCAACTCTAATGTATCTTCCAAATTTTGCGCGTTGAGCGCATCCATGACTTCGCATCGCCAAAGTCCAAAATTGTTTGTGCCATTGAACTTTTCCACGTCAATCTTCATCGAGTGGATATTCAAGCTTTGGACGGTCTTCACGCCGGAAGTACTGCCCACAACTCCTTCTTTCTCGGCCATAATCCTCAAAGCACCACCAAACCAATGCGGAAACAAACGAGAAATAGATCCAAACTGAAAAAGACGAGATTTTTACCAAAAAGATCCCACCTTTATCATCAAACGAAGCCCTAGATGAACTTCCAAGCGATCCACTCCTCCAAATAGCCCAAGCGTTGCCCGAGCTCTGATACCACTTGTTGTGCGCCCAACGACAGCGATAAGCTCTGATACCACTTGTTGTGCGCGATGCTTTGAGGAACCAAACCAACGAACGCCGAGAGAAAGACCAAACAAAACACAAACACCAAGGTTTAACGTGGTTCGGCAATTGCCTACGTCCACGGGGCAAGAAGGGGGTGGGTTTTCACTAATAGAGAAGGAGAGTACAAATTGAGATTACAAATCGCTCAAACGAACCAACTAATCTCACCAACAAATCTCTCAATCTCTCAACCAATAACCCTAACAAATAGCTCAGAAAGATCTCTCTTTTCTGTGCTCCAAAATCCCCAGATTTGCTCTTACAAAACCCTCAAATCGTATTGGTATTTATACCAAAACAGAAACCCAATCAGACTGCAAATAGGAATCCTGATTTTCCAAAAAACCCGCTATAAGTCGACTTAACAGTCTGCATAAGTCGACTTGACAGAGAGAAAAACAACAACTGGAGACGAGATCGTAAGTCGACTTACAAAACCTGTTAAGTCGACTTGCCATAAGTCGACTTACAGTCGACTTAGCATAAGTCGACTTGCCCTCTGTGCATGAGTCGACTTATGTCCAAAAATCAGCTTTTTTCAAGTTCTTCTCCACATAGCAAAGCTCGAAGGGTAACGGTGATTGAGAACCCCAAAACTTAGGGGGTTTGGGCATTTAAGTTAAAGGGGTTATCTGTAAAGCAATAAAAACTTAACGGGGTTGGCTAAAATTTACACTTAAAAAGACCGAAGCCCCCCGAACTCGACAAAGAAACGCCATTTCAATTCAAAACCCTAGAATCTCCTCTCTTTGTTTTCTCCAATTTTCGGCGAGAATCGGTGATCATTTCCGTCGGCGAGTCTGCCGCCGTCGAGGATTTTGTCCTCTCAGGTCTGAACTGTCTCTTTGTTTTATGAAATTTAGCGCATTTGAGCAGTTCGAGGAGGTTAAACCCTAATTTGATGATCATTTTCGTACATTTTGGGTAACTCATAGAGTGTGATTGTTCGAAATGTTTCTGTTTGACTTCAATCAGGCTAAAACTTAATTGGAAGATCTCCGTGAATTGGGGTCACTCAACAAGCACGCATGCATGCTCGAGCTTTGAAGGAATTTGATCATGTATGTATATTTTTTCCCGGAAAATGTTTTTGTCGAAAACGTGAATGAATGTGACACCAACGGTAGCATGAGCGTTGATTGCTTCTACTATTAAGCCAATGCATGTATTGTCGTTTAATTTCATAGTCTTTTTTAATGAAGCATATGTATGTACGATGAAAGTTATTGAATTTTTCTTGAAGGGACTGAGAGATATATGGTTGAGTCAATCTTAAGCCATTTGAGATATGTGTGAAGGAGGGAGATGGTAGCTGTGTGTTGTGTTCTTATAACAAAATCAATGGCAATCTAGCTTGTGCTGTTGGAAGGTTGCATGAGACGAACTAATAGAGATGAATGGGATCTTAATAGGGTATATAAAATTGCTTATTCTACTATTTCTTTAATCATGATTTAATGGATGATTACAATGATTTTGTGCTTTGTTATAGTAATATAGTCTCTGACTGTTACTCCATCAAGACCGTATTTGAGACAATTATTGGATGGCTGTGCTATTAAAGCTGCAGCTCAAGTTATGCGTGCAAGTATTGGAGAGGAAAATAGTAGATATGCTCCTTTTAAAACGATCAACTATTTTCGCGTGAGTTTTGTTTGAAAATTTTAAAACAAATTCACATTATAAACTACTGCACATCGGAGAGGAAAATACTAGATATGCTCCTTTTGAACTTATATGAAGTTAGCAATTTAAAACTCTGTATTCTGAAAACAAAAAAATAACCCTTGCTCCATGATCTGACAACCAGAACATTAACTAGCAATAATTCAGCACTATTACTTCTATACACTACATATTTGATCTTAACTTCATTGTGTATTCGACATTGATTACATGTAAAATAGTATTGTATATCATTTCATCTCCGATATCTATGTTATTAAAGTACAGCTTCTGATACCCAAGTCCTAGATACATACAAAAAGATCTCCTTTCCCTAGCTAAAGTTCGAGAAAAACCACAAAGTAGAAGAAAAACTTGCATGAGAAGAAAAACACGATTTCTGAAAAATATGATTATTTTCTACAAGTACAAACTGTCATTGAATACATAAATGAATATATGAAACTGTGTACGAAATGTATATGCACTGTTGTAACTTGTAAGTATATATATTTTCTTTGTGTATGTATCATAGAGATATATTCTGCTAGAAAGTGCAAGTTTAGTAATTAAAGTTGTTTGCTTGGATATGCTTGCTAGACGAAACAATATATTGCCATTACGTCATGAGAACTTGAACATGCAATTTGGTATGAAGTTTTGCATTTACAACTAGTAATAGTAACACATTAATATTTTTTTGATAGTAGTACATGAACATCATTCTCATCGTCTTTGAAAATTTAGCTTTTCTATACAAAATGCAAAGAGAGAACCTAAGATGAGAGGATAGGCAATGAGAACAACAGCCACAACTCCCAGACGGTCATGGTGGTATCCGAAGTAGTCCTTTATAAAGGAGGAAATTAGTTTTGTTTCTCCGAACACCATGATCTCCTTGTCTATGTCTCCATATTGTGTAGTAAACAGGCTGTTTAGGGTCCATGACATGGGACTGATATAATAAAGCCAGATCCACCACTTCGGGATTTGCTGCAAGGAATCACCAAGATACCAGATAAATAAATTTTATATATTTAACATAATTACATAAATGACTTTAATTTAAGACACCTTAAAACAATTAACTCAGAAAAAAACGCGATGTCATTGATATACCTTACAATGTCTAGTTATACATTTATAATGATGTTAATAATTTACTCATACACATACACACATTATGTGTGCACTTTTAGATCTTAAGAACTCCAACGGTCCAACCTGAAGAAAAATATCATCATAGTATTATTGATCACCAGAAACAAATCAATCTTCAACAATGTCTGATGCGCCTTTACTCTATTCATAGATAGTTTTTCAGTTACAACATCATTATCTTCTTCTTAAGCTTTTTTTTTCACCATTATGTTGGTCATGGAACTAGTCGAAGGCAGGAAGCCACAGAACTTTCTATCTTATATTAGGCAAATAATTCTAACTAATATCACGTAGGTGCATGCTTGCAACCTAGTAACAGGAGACATATGACTTGGCAATGGTGTAATCTCAAAGCACCGTCATTAACTATAAATGAAAGAGTATATCACAACTTTGCAAAATGCAAATGCCTGCCAATCTCTTGATCCTACAAGTGTGAGGAGAAGAAGGTTTTGCTAAAAGTGTCTTGAAGGGATTGTTTGGTTGCGAGGAAAATTTGCCTTTGGTGAACAGTTTAACCTCCAAAAAAGGGCATGCTCCCAAGTTCTCTCAGCATGGAGTTTAGAAACAGAAATAGGATACATGGAAAGCTATACTGCAGGAAATTGTATTTATTTAAGACACAATTTTAATAGAATACCAAATGAAATTACATTATCAATTTGAAAATAAAATGAACTGTATAAAGAAAGGAAAAAAATCATCTTACACTTCTGGATTTAACTGTATGCATGTGATTGAATATGAAGGATTCTTTAAGAGAGTTAATTTAACCAATAAATCTGGCAATAAGAATTCAACCCATCTTATGCAATTTATTCTACAAGTTATTTTCTAGCACTGATTTTATCCAAAAACCAGCCTTGCATTACAACTTTGTTGAATGTCAGACGGCCAAGATGTACTTAAGCTTAATTTATGTGCTTTTAACAGTATTGTCAGAGGAAAATTGTTAGGAAGAAATGTATTACAGCAGTATTGACTGTAAAAACATCAGCTGTTCTAAATATGGTAAAGGAGATTTTGTTCCATGGAAATATGTAATTAAGTGAAAGGAAAACTTACTGGGCCTGGTATGATGAAGCCAGAGAAGAGATTTAGAATGCCATAGCAGGGAGATTGCAGTATGGAAGCCACTTGAACATTGGGGGTCAATGAAACAATCAACATTCCTAGGTAAACATAAGTGAGCAATGTGCAGAACATGGTGAAGAAGAACCATAAGAACTTTTGAGCTGACCAATAATAGCCAATTGTTGGATATGTGATGACGATAAATAATCCTACTTGGATGAATACATAAGGAATCTCAATTACCATCTGCCGAAAATAAAGAATATCAGAACTTACTGTAAAGTCATGTAAGCTATTTGTTTATGGTGTGTTTTCATGTATCAATGGGTGTGTGTCTAAGACGCTACATATAAAGATGACTTTTTTAACCTGTGCTAATGAGTAGGCCCATGGAGAGTACATTCCTGCATATTTCTCACGGTATAGAACAGTTCGTTCAGTTGCTACGAATGTCAAAACTGAGGATGCGTTGTTTATGCCGAAGAAGTTCGTGACAACGTACATTAACCCCAGCATGTTGAACAGATCTTGCTGGTTGTTTCTTCAACAAATGAAACAAACAGACGTCAGTACAGAAAGTATAGCCCATATATGTATTAGTCTTAAAAATAGAATCCACCAGTGTGGTATTCTACGGAGAAATCTGCTCAATGTAGAGAACTTTTTTCATGAATGTATCAGATTTTTGTTTGTCATTCTATTCGCTGATGCTTCAAGCCTATGTCTGAGAAGGGTATTCCAAATTGGAGCACTGATTAAAATCGTTCCATTTATTATACTTGAGGTCTAACATGGCCTCTCCCATTTAGTGTCTGAGGTAAGAGGCAAGGGTCTTCTTGTCTTGGATATGCTTGCTAGACGAAACAATATATTGCCATTACGTCATGAGAACTTGAACATGCAATTTGGTATGAAGTTTTGCATTTACAACTAGTAATAGTAACACATTAATATTTTTTTGATAGTAGTACATGAACATCATTCTCATCGTCTTTGAAAATTTAGCTTTTCTATACAAAATGCAAAGAGAGAACCTAAGATGAGAGGATAGGCAATGAGAACAGCCACAACTCCCAGACGGTCATGGTGGTATCCGAAGTAGTCCTTTATAAAGGAGGAAATTAGTTTTGTTTCTCCGAACACCATGATCTCCTTGTCTATGTCTCCATATTGTGTAGTAAACAGGCTGTTTAGGGTCCATGACATGGGACTGATATAATAAAGCCAGATCCACCACTTCGGGATTTGCTGCAAGGAATCACCAAGATACCAGATAAATAAATTTTATATATTTAACATAATTACATAAATGACTTTAATTTAAGACACCTTAAAACAATTAACTCAGAAAAAAACGCGATGTCATTGATATACCTTACAATGTCTAGTTATACATTTATAATGATGTTAATAATTTACTCATACACATACACACATTATGTGTGCACTTTTAGATCTTAAGAACTCCAACGGTCCAACCTGAAGAAAAATATCATCATAGTATTATTGATCACCAGAAACAAATCAATCTTCAACAATGTCTGATGCGCCTTTACTCTATTCATAGATAGTTTTTCAGTTACAACATCATTATCTTCTTCTTAAGCTTTTTTTTTCACCATTATGTTGGTCATGGAACTAGTCGAAGGCAGGAAGCCACAGAACTTTCTATCTTATATTAGGCAAATAATTCTAACTAATATCACGTAGGTGCATGCTTGCAACCTAGTAACAGGAGACATATGACTTGGCAATGGTGTAATCTCAAAGCACCGTCATTAACTATAAATGAAAGAGTATATCACAACTTTGCAAAATGCAAATGCCTGCCAATCTCTTGATCCTACAAGTGTGAGGAGAAGAAGGTTTTGCTAAAAGTGTCTTGAAGGGATTGTTTGGTTGCGAGGAAAATTTGCCTTTGGTGAACAGTTTAACCTCCAAAAAAGGGCATGCTCCCAAGTTCTCTCAGCATGGAGTTTAGAAACAGAAATAGGATACATGGAAAGCTATACTGCAGGAAATTGTATTTATTTAAGACACAATTTTAATAGAATACCAAATGAAATTACATTATCAATTTGAAAATAAAATGAACTGTATAAAGAAAGGAAAAAAATCATCTTACACTTCTGGATTTAACTGTATGCATGTGATTGAATATGAAGGATTCTTTAAGAGAGTTAATTTAACCAATAAATCTGGCAATAAGAATTCAACCCATCTTATGCAATTTTTTCTACAAGTTATTTTCTAGCACTGATTTTATCCAAAAACCAGCCTTGCATTACAACTTTGTTGAATGTCAGACGGCCAAGATGTACTTATTACTTAAGCTTAATTTATGTGCTTTTAACAGTATTGTCAGAGGAAAATTGTTAGGAAGAAATGTATTACAGCAGTATTGACTGTAAAAACATCAGCTGTTCTAAATATGGTAAAGGAGATTTTGTTCCATGGAAATATGTAATTAAGTGAAAGGAAAACTTACTGGGCCTGGTATGATGAAGCCAGAGAAGAGATTTAGAATGCCATAGCAGGGAGATTGCAGTATGGAAGCCACTTGAACATTGGGGGTCAATGAAACAATCAACATTCCTAGGTAAACATAAGTGAGCAATGTGCAGAACATGGTGAAGAAGAACCATAAGAACTTTTGAGCTGACCAATAATAGCCAATTGTTGGATATGTGATGACGATAAATAATCCTACTTGGATGAATACATAAGGAATCTCAATTACCATCTGCCGAAAATAAAGAATATCAGAACTTACTGTAAAGTCATGTAAGCTATTTGTTTATGGTGTGTTTTCATGTATCAATGGGTGTGTGTCTAAGACGCTACATATAAAGATGACTTTTTTAACCTGTGCTAATGAGTAGGCCCATGGAGAGTACATTCCTGCATATTTCTCACGGTATAGAACAGTTCGTTCAGTTGCTACGAATGTCAAAACTGAGGATGCGTTGTTTATGCCGAAGAAGTTCGTGACAATGTACATTAACCCCAGCATGTTGAACAGATCTTGCTGGTTGTTTCTTCAACAAATGAAACAAACAGACGTCAGTACAGAAAGTATAGCCCATATATGTATTAGTCTTAAAAATAGAATCCACCAGTGTGGTATTCTACGGAGAAATCTGCTCAATGTAGAGAACTTTTTTCATGAATGTATCAGATTTTTGTTTGTCATTCTATTCGCTGATGCTTCAAGCCTATGTCTGAGAAGGGTATGCCAAATTGGAGCACTGATTAAAATCGTTCCATTTATTATACTTGAGGTCTAACACGGCCTCTCCCATTTAGTGTCTGAGGTAAGAGGCAAGGGTCTTCTTGTGGTTTTTAATACTTAATTCTGAGTTTCCCTTCAGAGTTCAACATTTTGGGTTATCACTTTGAAATTTGATCTAATTCTTGATTCTTTTTTGAGAATCATGTCGCAGCAGTGATCTTAGTGGTATCTAATCAAACATGATTAAGCAAGAGCTCGAGAGCACCATATCCTGAGGGGAAATTTAAAAGAATTATCTGCCATGGCCTAGCTGCGTCAAAATGCCTTTTGAACTCTTCTAAACCTGCATCCTGGTCAGCTATGGTCCTTATCTTGTGGTTTCAAAGCCATTCAGTGGGGCATGTCAGCTTCCACAAATACACTCAACATGTTCTTGTATTCTAAATAAGGATTTTGGAGCAATGTGCATGTCACTTATGTGATGTGGTTTTTTTACAATTATTTTTTATGTTTCATTTGTTTATGGCCTTTTTTTGCGAATAATCATTGTCCATTTATTTCAATAGGATAGTGTTCAAAAGCTAATTATTTTAATGCAATTAATGTTTGCCTCTGTAATAGAGTCCAATTCAATAGAGCAAGCACACCTGTTCTCATATCCCTCCCTCACTCCCTCCATGCACATCTTCCTGCCTCATAAATGATGCACTGGCTGTCTTGTTTTCTTATGTTTCATTTTCCTGCCTTATTAGCTTCTATTTGTGGCACTAACCGTAACGTTTTGCCTTTTCCAAGGATCTGCTGTGATATTTATTATTATATAATATATGAAAATTCCAGCTAGAAGAATCATTGACTTTTCTATTTTAAAGCTCCTGACACATGTATACTGACTTACAGTGTCTTCCCATGCTTCCAGAACAGAACTGCAAATACAGTTGAGGAGATAATTACAAATATCATGCGCGTCAAGTTATATGAAGGACTTCTCCAGTATGACAGGTACTGTTTCCACAGGCAAGCTTTGAACTGCACCCATCCATTTTGTGGAAAACGAGTGGGAAAGTGTAAATCACTTGAATCTGGTGGTGGTTTGCTAACTTGTCTGACGAGCTCTTGATTATTCCTGGAATTGGGGAAAATAGAACATAAGGTAACTTTTACAATCTGCACCTAGATAAAATTTGAACAATGTCATGATAATGTTTCATATTTTGATAGAAATTGTTTATTTATAAGGTCTTCCAATTGTACACTTAGCATCAAAGGCATAAGCAAATATTAAATATAAGCATCTGCATATTAATAATTAATTCACCTGTATAGTGGCGACTGTCTGTATATTTGTGCAAAATCTACATTAAGTTGCGCTTCAACAGATGTAGAGGTAACGTCCAACATCCATGTTGCTGGATTATAATTTTTCTTTATCCTTGGTATCCCAGTAATGCCCTGATACAGTAAGATCAGAAACAATCAGCTTAAGCTACTTAGTAGATGTATTGATGAAATGTGTTTTATTTCTCTTTGTCGTTATATACATACATAACACCATAATTTATCTCTGAAGTAAAATAAAAATTTCTTTTCAAGTTTCATGCACAAGTATAATGAAACTGTGTAATATTCAGGCTTACTTGACAAGACATATAGCTGTGGTTTGGAATGAACCTTACACCTTATGTGGTTCAGTTTCAAACTTATAAGAGTTTCAAACTTAATAAAGATAGCACAGATGGAAGAGAGATCTAAGACAATGTAATCTGTGTGCCGTAGTTTTGAACTATAGAAGACAGCATCACATATCTCTGATTCTATCTAATAGTAGACTTTATAACCTAGATGATAATGTATATGGATAACTTACCTCAAAATATTCAATAACTTCACATGAATGCTGACCTAACTGCCCAACATATATCAGTTCACCTCCCCTTTTCATTAAAATTAGCTGCAGGAAAATGAAATTTTTGTTTCTCAGCAAAAGCCTGAATTGAACGCAGAGACAGAGAACTAATCCAGATAATAAAATACTCTAATGCATTAATTTTTGTAGCGAGAAGTTAAGATATCAGATGAAGAATGCTATATTGGCTATATCTAGAATCATCAACATTGATTATGCTAACTGCAGGGATCTTTCAGTAGGTTGGATAGTAAAGGTAGTAGTAAAGCTCATAGTTATCAATATGGAATTATTGAAATAAGATACATACTCGCAAAAAAACGTAGGACACATATATGTATAGTCATATTCATATATGTCTATGTGTATGTATAGTATGCTCAATTGTGTTTTTGTTAAACTTTTATTTGTAACTGTTCAAATAAATTTAGAGATCGCTGTACGAGGAAAAAAAATAAGTTTCACACAGAAAGGATATTGTAGTGTGCAACTTGAAGAAAGTAGAAACTTTTTTTAATGTAACCTTAAGTAAATTTAATTCTTATTGTGTACTTAATTTACTTAATTTGTGTTCTCCATTCAACAGCTAAAGTTTAAGGTTTAATATAAGTAATTTTCAATAAGTTTGTCTATATAAATGGTTCTTTAGTAAATACTAGTATACTACAACTATTTTTGAATTATTTTTTAGTTTTTCAGTCCAAAAAGTATGCATATGTGTTTTTTATTAAAGTTAAATAATTATCATGAAGTGTCAAAAAGATCTTAAGAGTTAAGAGTATAAGTATGATATCCTATAAGTATTGGAACTGTTTCCTATATTTTCTAACATGGTATGTTGTCTTAAAACAATTTTTTAGATAGAAGTCTCCTGTCCATATTTAGTGTTCGGTAGCCATGGTTCAGCTCTTTGATCCTGCGACGGTTTTCATCTACAGATGACATAGATGTTTTATTTCTGTTTAATGAAAATTCAGTTCTTTTGTTCGGTACCTTTCAGAAATTTAGAACTATGTGGCCATTAAATAGTCACCACACTCTTACATGTTGCTGATATCGTCAAGTCATAAAAAGATGTGTTAAAAAATTCTGGTTATATACACTTAAGATTATGGTTTATTTCTCCTAGAATTTTTTTCCTTTTTAGTGGGTTTTTGCTGCATTATTATCGGTGTATTTGCAACATAAATCCATTATTACCTCATCAAATGCCTCAAAAATATCAGTACTAGGTTGGTGAATGGTGCAGACCACTGTTCGTCCTGTCCCAACAACGTTTTTCACTGCACGCATTACTATTGCAGCTGCTCTAGCATCTAAACCTGATGTGGGTTCGTCCATGAATATAATAGATGGATTTGCAACAAGTTCTACAGCAATAGTCAGTCGTTTCCTCTGCTCAGTAGATAATCCGCTGACCCCAGGTATTCCAACTAAGGAGGCTTTGATGCCATCAAGCTCAATTATTTCAAGCACTTCATTTATGAACTCCTGTTGATCAAACACAACTGGTACTAAATCTAACAAGAAAGATATCAATTGAACTGGCAGTATTATTGATCTATTGTATACATGTGATTCTATGAGAGTTATAGTGATAGACTGATAGTTCATGGAAAAAAGAGATGCGCAAACTCACAGATCTAGTGGTTGGATCAACTTGAGATGGTAGCCTCAGCCAGGCTGAATATATTACTGACTCTTCTACAGTAATATGTGGAGAGTGTATGTCGTTCTGCTCACAATAACCTGATATCCTAGCAAATGTTTGTTGTACCTTAGGATATCCTCCAATTCTTATGTCCCCTTCGATTGTACCCCCTGTTTTTCTTCCTGCAAGAACATCCAATAACGTGGTCTTCCCTGCACCACTAACACCCATAAGCGCTGTAAGAATTCCAGGACGGAATGTGCCGGTAATATTGTGGAGAAGTTGTAGCTGTTTCTCCGTATAGCCTTGTTCTCTCATTTCCTAGTATGGAACAGTATGAGTATTAATAATGTGAATTTCCATATATTATAGTGATCTAGGATCATAACATGATTACCAGAGGAGTGTCAACATAGTACTTCACGTCCTGAAATGCTACTGTGAGGGGAATGAATGGTAAAACCATCCTTCCTGCAGCATGTTTCATTAAGTTTAGTTTATTTTTATTTCCTCCAAGTCCTAACCAGTATCAACTTTTCTTCCTTGATGAAGAATCAGACTAAACAGCCGTACCTGTTCTCTTATGTTCTGTGGCAGTCCTAGGAGATATACTTGGTGAAGTATCATGTAGTTTCCTTTCGTCCTTAGTGTCTTCTTCTCCCTTTATTTGGTAAAGTTTTTCTTGGGATATAATTGCTTGAGATACACCAGGTTCTGAAATTGGAATACATTTTGTAAGTTTTCTTTTCTTTTCCCTTATGAGAATGTAGGATACTTGAGAGTTATATGATTCTTATCATATTAGTTGGTTATACTTCTTACGTTTTCTGAGAGTTATTGCCAAAGAGAATGCCACATTAAGGAGCAAAACGTATCCGACCAAGGCACCCACTGATATCCAGTAAAAGTAGCCATTAAAGTTCAGTCCACGGCTTGTCAGAACTTGCTGTCCTATAGTTGTATTTGCTGATGTAATCTGTAAAATAGGATTTGTATAGGAAGATTTGTATAGTTGGAGAGAGATTCCGTGTGAGGCTAATAAGAAAAATAGTTAATCAGTTTTGTGCCTCACCTTTTCCCACCGCGGTGCAAGGAATTCATTTACTGCCAAGCCTATCTCTGCATATGTTAATGGGGAACACCAAAATCCCCACTTTAACCAGCTAGGCATAGAGTCTGAACAAGCAAATCATGATTAGTATATGTCATATCCAATATTTTAGGATTATGATTCCCTTTGACTTTTGATTTTTTTATGTCATAGTTGGTTGTGATTTCCTACTGCTTATCATATCATATGTTCCTCTCCTCTGAGCCATATCCATATTCTACTTTGGCAGATATGAATATGGATTTTAGTTACCGAATTATATTAGTAAGAGGAGACACATATGGTATATGTCATATCCAATGTATAGTTTAGTAACTAAAAATTATATCGGTCAAAGTAGAATAGGAATATGGCTCAGAGGAGAGGAAAATAAATCCGGATACATATTGGACATGAGAGAAATTGATAGAACTCAAAGAATATAGATGCTATATGATACATAGCTGTTTAAATAAAACATATTTCTCAAATCATAGGTCCCCAACGCATTTGGCATGCATAAAATGTAAGGTTAGGTCTGTAGATCATGAAAATAAACTTGGGATCCACTGATCTAACGTCAAAATAGTTTCTAACCATCAATGCAGATACTCAGAATCTTAGATTCCAGAACTGGATTCAGATATTTTTTCTATTTTCATATCATTGTCATAATCCTTTCAAAAAATTAAAATGATATCTGTATCCACATATATTTTTTCTATTTTCATATCATTGTCATAATCCTTTCAAAAAATTAAAATGATATCTGTATCCACATTGCCCGGATATGGATATTCAATTATCAATATCCATATTCATGATACAGATATATCCTCGGATATTAATACCCATTTGCATCCCTACCTACACAGCTATATAGATCTTACTCTGGATGAATTTTAGGGTTTCTCTTGGGTTGGACTAGTGTGAACTGTTAGGCCATATTGGGAAATTGTAGGCAGAGAGTTGATATTAGATTGACAGTCAGCTGGATAGTTTTACTTAGTTGTTTATATGTTGCCTAATTAGCAACTTGTGCTTGATACTGACCCCATTTTGACAAGTAAGAAACGTAATAATGATGACATAATGATGGGTTGAGATTTGAGAATGTGGAAAGAATACACTTACGATATGGTAGAATAAAGCCGCCAAATACCAGGAGTACTAGAAAAGTCAAGGTACCGCTCACTGTAGAAGCCACTGGTGTCTGGAAATATGAGGCAAGGAAACGAAACAAGGAAAGTGACACCTGGTGCAAGATGAGAAGCAGAAGAAACTGGCGGAAGAACCTAATAAGACAAGCTGATCAGAATTATGTAACATTAATGCTAAAGAGTTGAAACACTACAAATAGGAAAGCTACCTTACTGCCTCTGGGCTGTATCCAATTCCGTAATAAGTAATAGACGTCCATAGTAGAGATTCTATCAAAGAAATAGGGATTTTTAATAGGAAAGCAGGAATTGCGTAAGCCCACGCAGGGTAGAAGTAAAAATCTCTCTGTTTATAGAACACAGGAAGCCTAGTGATCGTCATAGCCAACTCTGGAAATCCATTGACCATATGGATTATTAGTGTGTAAAACAATGCTCCGAGGTAGCTATTAGCATGAAAAACATCAACTCCGAGGCGTGTACACAGGAAAATGGTCATTGTGATGATTGCAGTAATCCCAAGCTGCAAGAACGGTGAGCTAACTGTTTGAGCTGAATGCTTATTTGTCATATTACATCACAAGAGCTATTCGTAAAAAGCTATGTACCTGAGTTGATTTGAATATGTAAACGAAAGAATTCCTCTTCATCAGAAGCAATTCCCTCACCATGCAAGCTTTAAACAGTTCCCACTTTGGTAATGAATAAGCATTGAAAGATAAAGCATTTTTATGGCACTGGGATTTGTCGTAAGGCTTTGATAGCTCCTCTTCAAGTCTCTGTCCAACATCATAAGCGTTGAACTTTTTGCAGAGGTGACCTACCGAAACATAATGGTATTCTTCGTACGTACGAGACCAGTACTGTTCTTGATCTTTTCTGGACAATACCTGAACATAATTTATCGTGAGCGAGTTCTGAGGATCTATAAGAACACCAAATTAGTTAATAAATACTTCACCATAATTACCTCCTGCAAAAATTCAGCTTCCTCTTTCCTCTCTGGACATTTGAATCCACATTCTTCAAAAAAATTAAGAATATGATTGCGAGGGCCATGATATACAATCTTTCCTTTTGCCATTAATATGATGTCATCAAAGAGATCATAAGTTTCAGGTGCAGGCTGGAGAAGTGAAACGACAATAGTAGTCTCTGTGATATGAGCCAATTGTTGAAAACAAGAAATGATTTGGAATGTCGTAGAGCTGTCTAGTCCGGTTGATATTTCATCCATAAATAGAGCTTTTGTCGGTCCAACAATGATCTCGGCTAACCATGTTCAATTGTACAGCAGAATTGTGCACATAAATAGTTAGAACATATTTAAGTTGCACTTGCAGTTAATCATGGTGATTCCTGAAAAGTTCATACAGAGAAAAGTAGCCGGAGCTTGTTATGTTGTCCTGTTCATGTTACCTGTAGTCAATCTTTTCTTTTGGCCACCTGAGATTCCTCTTCTCATGACATCTCCAATCATCGTATCTGAACAGATGTCCAGTCCCATGATCTGCTAACCAAACACTATTTAGATCTCAGTTATAAAATCAATTCAATCCCAATGTCGACTAACCTATGAGGCTGTTATACATAACTCTAATTTCTATTTCTATTTTCTATCATGTAGGAGAAAATTACCTTTAATATGTAGTCTGTTTGGAGACTTCTTTCTAATCCCTCCACAGAAATTGCCTACATAGAACAAATCCGTCCTCATTCCTTTTGTAATGCTTGATATGAGTAGAAGAAGTATGTTGTTGCATACAGTCATTACGCATACGTGTGCGTGCGCGCGCACACACACGAATAAAGCTAGAATAAAACTTAAGTGGATAGGAGCCCTTGTTCACCAACTTTTATCCCTTCATTATGCTTTGAGATTGTGCAACACATCAAGACTATCTTTGAGATTTGTGCCTTGATGTATATCACATGCTAGCACAAATCTCAATGCAAAATCAATGTATAGAAAAGTTGGTAGGCAAAGGGCTCCTATCCACTTAAATTTACAAGAGCATTACTCTCTCTCTCTCTCTCTCTCTCTCTTGTGTATGTATGTGTGAGAACTTCTGTAGTGTGATATAATAGAGATTAACATATTTATACAAATTAAGTTGCCAATATATAATTTCTTGAACTGATTTTATTATCGAAGGAAGGACGAAACTTGGGTTATCCTTAACTTATAACAATTCTAGTAATATAGTATAGATCCCTGTTTCAAGGGAAAATAAGCATGAGACAGGGTGATGATTACCTTCATGTATGTATCTATGTCGGACTCAGGGATAATTCCAGCCTGCTTCTCCCTTTTACTAACTTCCTCCATAATTTCTTCATGGGAAATTATATTTTGAATTAAGGATCACTTTCTATGTAGGTGTAAGATCAATATCTACAAGTTGTTTTGGACGATCTTAAGTCCTTACCTTGCCTGCTTCCAACACCTTGAAAGCGTGCTGAAAAATCCAAAGTCTCCCGTACAGTCATCTCAGGAATATGCAGATCATATTGGCTCACGTAAGCTGCTGTTTTCTCTTGGACAAACTCCTTTACTCTGAAGCCATTATATGAAATTTCTCCTGCAACCTGTGATAGAATTTTATGTTATTGAAGGTTGAAATCTATATAGAAAAGTACAAACAAATTTTTTGGAAGGGGAATTTGCTTCGATGCAATCCAACCATTGCTAATGACTTTCTTTTGAGGTAGAAAGCCCACTACCAAAGGGCCTGTTACAGGTATTTGCAAGAAAAAAAGCTGTGTGCGTGATGGATTGCAGTCTGCAATAAGCATTGTCAAGAATAGTGCTTCTGATGACCAGTAAGTATAGATAACATGAAGCCCTGTCTATAATGGTGAGGTTAAGCTTGTGGAATGGTAATTGCCTAACTGTTGCTCATCTGGATTCTGTATTGCTGATTTTCAATTGCTTGAGATTAAACTATTTATAAGAAATGGAGGTAGCACACGGCTTGCAATGGTGGGGTCTTTTCAAGCTATCCTTTCATTTTCTTTATCCTGATCCTTCGACAGTGCCT